CCAACCCAAACTATCCTAAGGTTCTGTGAAATATTCTCTCCAGTGCCATTGACTCATCAGTATGGAAGGAGTTGCAGGAGAAGCAGATCTGAACTGTTCCACTGGAGGGGAAGGAAGCAGGCTCACGTCACTGCTGGGCTGCAGTCAGGCCTTGGCCTTTGTGCCTCACTGGCAGCTCAGCTCCATCTCTGAAGCAGCACCAATACCGCACAGTGCAACTTGTTCAGTTTAAACAATTTCTATAGACAACAACTTTGATGTCAAGGAAAAGAAAAAAAATTTTTTTGTGAGCTGCTTGCTTTGAGTGAATGTGACTTCATGGTGGTCTTGGAGCCTCACAGGCTTGGCTTTGATTAAAATAAATCATGTGCAGTAATTCACATGATAGTCTGTGGTTTCTGTGTGATGTTGCCCCATGCAAATGGTCTGTTTCCTAGATTTAGGCATTTTTTTTAATGGAATACCTCACCCACAGTTTTTAAAGTTATCTGACATATTTATCTTGACAACACTAAAATTTTGTTCAGTGTGACATTGTATTAATAAACTGTAATTTCCTTAATGATACTTGATGCATTTTTAATTACAAAGGCCATAACATTTCAGTATCAACAACTCAACTACGGCTAGAAGAATTAAGCTTTTGGAATTGATTTCTGTTGATCTCACAAAAGTGAAACCTACAGGCAGAACAGTCAAATAACTGGATGTTAAAACACCCTATTTATTTAAAGCTTGCCTTTTGATCCTCACCTTGCCACACTGAAGCTCTGAGTGCATCATTCATTGCAGTGTTTTCCTATGACAGCTGGACTGCATGCTGTTGTTCTTTTAATTGTAAAGTGTCTCTTTTTCTGAGGCAAAATGGATCTGATGGTGAATGGCTACCCTGACAAGCACCTAGAGGCTACACGTACAGAGCTTCAGCTAGCATTATCTGTACTTTTGTTTCTAGAAAGAATCAAGCCTTTATTTATTTTCCCTTGAGAAACACATTGTTTCTCTGTGGAAGCCATCATTTCTGCTCCATCTAGCACAGGGAATTTTCACTGAGGGAAACATAAGCTTGGATAATTATCATTAATTCTATTGCTTTTTGTTTTCAGTGTCTTTAATACATGCCCTTTCCTTTCCAGCACTATTACAGGATTTAACATTCCCTTGATGTAGCAGAACCTTTGCCAGAGTCCCTGCTGTGCACCAAGACCTAATCAACCTCCATGTTTGTTGTGAATTGCTCCAAAGCTGCTCAGCCTGAGAGCAGGAGCTAACCTGCAGCCCTGTCATTCTGCAAATTCCTGCCAAAGTCTGAGACCAATCTCCCTTTCTTATGCAAAATTTTTTATTGAAATGAGAGTGGAATTTAAACTGGGTTCTGGCTCAAGGGAAAGTGCATTGCTTGAGTTTCACCATCCTACTGATGAGTGCTCTCCACATCTCACATGTTTGTGTGCTGGGAGGGGGGTATCACACAGGAATGAGATTATCTAACTATTTGTTTTAATTGTATATATTTGTTACTGGGAAGAAGTAGACAAATGCTAGTTGACCAAGTTTCTTTCACCAATATTTTGATTCAACATTGCAGGTTGCTTTGCCACTGGCCAAATAGCCATTCATTGAGAAAAGATAATTTTGTTGTTTATTGCCAGTCTGACAGATGTCAGTTGTTTCAACATTTCTAAATTCTGCTGTGCTTTTAAAATACGACAGTGTGGAAGGCACTCTTTAAAGTTAAAGCTAGCAGCATGTCAGAGATGATAAAGGTACTACAGCCACACATAGCACAACAGAAGATAATTGATGTATTCCTGCAGTGCAAAGCATCAGCTTCCAGTGTGTCAGAGCCAGTCCCTGTCCCTACACTCTGTATTCATTAGTGCCTCAAGGGATACTTATTCACCTTATCTGTTCTCTTCTAGTGATACACAATTTTTCAACTGGAAGAGAGGCGCATGCAAGTGATAAAAAGAGATGGCTCACATCTTGAGAATAGGAGGCCAGATAATGATATATGTGTGGGCAATGGAGCAAAAATGGGGAAGATTTGAAAAGCCAGACAACTTTGTTCCTTAGAAACCTTCACCTCCTTCCTGCTCCTCAGGTGAGCCTTGCTCACATGGAGTACAAAAATCAGTTCTTCACAGGGACAAAGAACTGGCTTTGAAACAGCCCTGTCATAAGCTGGATGGGACTTCAGAGCTATGCAGGACAGCACGGATCTCATCCTGCAGAGGGGAGAAAAAAGCACTGTGCACAGTGTCAGAGAAATCCCTGAGATGGTCTCTGCTCTCAAGATCACTTGACTCAGTAATAAATTTGGGCGATCAATGGCACCAAGAAGGGCTCGTTAGTTATGGCAATTACAGTGTTGAGCTGAATAATTGAAAAGGGGAGAAAAAGTTGAAAAAAATGCAAAGCTCATGGATTTCCGAAATGTACTTCTCACTTTTTCTACGTTGCAAACTGAGTTTTTAAAATACAACAACTTCTGAAGTGGCTGTTAAACCTGTGCTGCCCATGCTGCTCAAAGGCTTTCAGAAGCTGCTATGCAGAATTAAGGCAAGTAAAGGTACAGCTCCCCAGCAGCAGCAGGTAGTCATTGTGGTTGCAGCAGTGTATTCACCTGACCTGATTTCATGTCAGAAAGAATTAGCTGTCAGACAACAATTTAAAATAGACCATCACCCAAACCAAGGAGCTTTCTTGCTAACCTCAGAGCAAAAGCAGAGTAGGTGCTTCTATGCATAAAAAAGTCAATGAGTGCCCTGACCAAGCACAGATGACAGCAGACAGGTCCTGGTGGGGCCTGACTGAGGTACTGCTACATTTTTAAAGACAAGAAACTGGCCAAGCTGAAAGAGCACCAGATTCCTGAGCTATGCATTACTCATTTGTACGTTGACCACACCAACTGGTGCATGATCACAGAAAACACTAAAGTGTATAAGTTCTAGGGAAAATTCCCTTATTGAAGTGCACAGGGAATACTTAGAGGTTTTCTTTCTTTTGAAACCTCAGCGCCTTTGAAAACAGTTCCTGAAATTTTTATAGCCTTGGGTTTGTTTTGGTGAGAAGGGCATGTATGAGGAAGAAGCTGCTTTGAAACTCTCAGGTTCCGTGACTTTGTTTCCTTTGATTTTGTTCTTAAAATACATCTTTATTGAAATTTTTTTCTAGAGTTATTATTTCAGGCTGAGCACACTTTAGCATACTGATCCCTTTTCATAAACAGCTGCCAGCTGTGTTTTGTTGCTTGAAAATAGATAAAATACAGTTGGGAGGTGGTTGCTGGATTATTTTTATGTGTGCATTAAAAGTCTTTGTTGTTCATTTATTACTATATAATCATTCATGTCAACATTTTATTTTAAAATTTATTGTACTCTGCCACTTGATGTAACATAACATGGGAAGTAAGTGAAAGATACACCATTTTATTACAGTTCCACTTTGTCAGCCCATATGATATTTCCAGTCACACGAGACAGACTGGCTTTTATGAGAATTACTGGGTGGCAGAGGCAGTAACTCATGACACTGTCACATTTCAGAGATATTTTCACAGCCTTGGAGCAGCCATAGCCAAGGAAGCAATGAGATACTTGCCTCCCTGTATGCCACTACATGACCCCTCAAAAACACAGTTTTAAAGGGGGGTTCATGTTTTAAGGATTGCTCTTGCCCTGCCAATAAAATTACAAGGATTTAGTAACTCATTTAAATCTCTACAGTGAATGAGCACAGCACAGAAAAATGTTCCAGTGGTTGCTAGTCAACTGAGAAAATATTTATTAACATAATGCTTTTTATCTGCAGATTCACCTTTTGCAAAGAAAGTCAGATTCATTACCTGATTTTTATAGATAAAGAAACTGTAACAATTTACTGTTAGAGTTTGCAATGTAAAGTAAATATTTGGAAGCAAAACAAACAATAATCCCAAACAACACAGCTGCTTTGCTGATGTTTATTTATTAATGTCTGTCCATAATTTTACTTCCTGCTTTTGTTTCCATGGATTTGTGAAGCAGCAAGTCAGAGATCAAACTTGTTTTCTGAGAAATAAGCCCCTGCATGCTCTTTACGTGCCTGTCAGTAGCAGATGTATATCGTGTTTTCAGACCTAGCATGAAAAAGTGCAGCAGTCTTTGGTTTTTAATGCAGCTTTAATTCAATTTGGATATAATATCTGTAATAACATTTCCTTTACTTCCTTCCATGGTACCATCATAGTACATCTTGTATTCTCAGGTGGAAGAGCTAGATAGGCTAATCAGTGTCCTCCATCTGTAATGATTGCCTCTGCACTGCTCCTTTTTTTCCCACTAAATGTTAGCATCACTGTTAGCAAATGGAGAAAATAATTTTCAGACACAAAATGTTGCTGCCATTCAGCTCTGTTGACACCATTCCCTTCATTTCATACAAGGAAAACCTAGTCCAACTCTTAAATGAGTGGCCCATATGGGCATGGAACAACCTCAGCACTATTTACACCATTCTCTAGCAGCATCTCTGCATTTTTTTAGTGCATCTTCAGGTTGCCCAAAGCACCTCTGAGCCCCTGCATCATATTTGCTCCCCTGGTTCAACAGGCTGTTTACCCACACAGTGCACAAGAAAAATGCCTCTGATGGTAGCTGCCAGTCCTTGCGCTCAAGCACACCTGACACTTAGCTTGTTCCAGGAACAGCACAGGCATTTTAACTGAACCTGGCTACTCCTGTTGGAAGGTTTTAGCCTATTCCAGCATTCCTTTAGAGTTTATAATCTCCAGTTCCTCCCTCAGGTGCAAGGAGTCACCACGAGATTTCTCCTAATGCCGATGCCTGTCTGCCCGATCCAGCTGTTTCCAAACAAGGCCCATGTCACAGGGACAGTACTAGCCTGGCTGGAAGGATTTTTAATCTCTGGACAACTGTTAGCAGCTCTAAAAGTAACTCTCACCTCAAACAAGGAGTTAATGTTTTTGTTTTGAATGAGATGAACTGCACAGAGCCAATTTAGCAGGGAAGTTCTGCCTAAGGGATGGGTCAGAGCTGCTGCCATGTGAGACGCCTTGCGCTCACAATGGCTGCCTCTGGACTTCTTGGGATCAGACTTAATTCAGACTCTTGCAAAAGAAACTGCTCTCAGACACAGCCCTCAAAGTGGAAAGAAAGTAAAAATACATATTTGTTTGCAAAGATCTTGTATTAATAAATCCTCACATTTATGCATGTCAGAAATGTGATAAAGCCATAAGCTCTATTCTAAATTCTTGTTTTGATTAGAATGCCAGTAGCAAAACCAGGATCGAGTGCATTCCTTAATTTCTTCCACACAGTCTGCATTTGCAGTCTGCAAGGTAGGCACTACCTTGTGCCAAAGGATATAGGAGGGAAGTGCTCTGCACTCCTGAGCAGCACTTGATCTCAATTTGTTTTCCTCTGTGCTCTTTGCTGTTCTGTGCTGGATTCTAGAATAGACAGGTGCAATTTTTCTGGCTTCATTTAGGCATCAAGTCAGTAGATCTGTATGTAAGTCTAGTTTTGTACTCCTTTATTGCCTATGGAGTTAATGCAAGGAAGAGTTCCTTTAGAGGATGAACAATGGAATACACCTTAAAGACTTGTTTGGACTAGCAAGCTCATGTTCAGCACAAGCTCATCTCTTTCCATTGCTTGTGGAAGGAGCATGGAGAGGAGCTCAGCCTTAAACACTCAGATTCATCATCCCCTCCAGCTTTTCACCAGGCAGTGCTGGTGACACATCCCTGTTTTGTAGAAAGGTTGCTGCTTTTTGTCTTATCTCTGCTTTACTTTAAAGCATCCACCCCTCTGAATTTATGGTCATTTGAGGCCTCACCTGTCCAAGGGACACTTTCAGAAAAGTTTCCAATGTCTGACATTAACTCTGATCTATCAATGATTATCTCCTTTACACTATATAATGATTTATTTTAATATAAGTAAAACTAATGTCTTCTTACTTTTTCTGACTTGCAGGTCCCAAAAATTTCCCCAGTGTTGGAGATTTCTGTTTTCTCCACAGATGGTTGCTGCGCTGTTCCTAATTTCTTTTGTGGAGCTCTGGGAGATTGTCTTCAGCTGCCTCAGGATCACAAGCGCAGAGCAGGGTTCTCTGTTTTGTGCTTGCCACATTAGGCACTGTCACACTGAGTCCCAGCCAGCCCATGCAAAGGTGGCACAGGAGCAGCAGCCAGTGCTGCTCACATCACTGAGACGCTGTGAGCACAGCAATGTTTATCCTCCTTCAGCATAAACAGGTTTGATGAGAGTGAGTCTATCATAAAAGATGTTTGCCTACTGGGTAAATGTCTTTCTTCTAATTGTTTGCTAATTAGCAAACAGCTAACCCCACTGATTATCAAAATTCTTTCTCCAGAGAAAATGCTGCCAAGAGTTTAATAAATCCTTTTCCCTCATCCTTTTTAATTTTAAAAATTGTTCCAAATATCATTTGGTAGCTATCACCTAAGGAGGCATTCCATTTGAGTTAATCAGCTCCTGCAAGGTTATCTGTGATCTATCTGAAAGTGCCTTAGCCAGCATCTTGCTTTCTGTCTTAATTTGCAATTACTGGCCTAAAATTGTCACTTACCACAGGCATTTGTACTGACCTCTCAAATTAAGATCATCCACAAAATTAGAACTGGAAGAAGCCTATTTGGTCACTTACTCTATCTTCAAAAGTGCATTTATTATTCATGGTGTGTGGCAGGGAATGTAAGTGTAGGGTATGATTGAGAACACTGCAGGTGACTAGTCTTTGAAATGTAAATACAATTAATGAGTGTACCTGTCTTCCCTCAGGATCTGTCCTTGCCTGCTTTGTCATTCTGATTATTTTTCTTCTCTTTGAAGGGGCTCCTGATTTTCCTTCCTTCCTTCTCAGTCAAGACTGAAATAACATTTGGCAGAAGGATTCTGAGTGGTAAAAAGCACAGGAAATATTCTATGGATTTCACAAAACACGCGCTTTACTAGCATGCCTTTCACATCTCATTGTGACCAGGAGTGAGCTAAGTGTTGCCTTTATACTTTGGCACAAAAATCATTTGACATGAACATACTATCACAAGTTTAAAAAAAGAACACCAGCTTGCTTGCAGTGAAAGCCCACATTGGCAACATTGAGCTATAGTGAAACTGTGCCATTCACTAGCTGTCACAGGCTGCCAACTAAAAGCATCACATTTCATACAGCAAAGTAGATTGTCCCAGGGAAAACCAAGAAAAATTATTTGGGAATACTTGAGGTCAGCCAAGAAAGAGAGCAGCACATTAAGTCCCCAGCTCTCATTCTTCACTTCCCCATGCCTAATCTTTATTCTTTATAATTGTATACAGTGGCTTGCAAAGAGGTTAAAACATATAAGAAAGACCAACACCTACTCCATGTCCTGGGATAGAACTGCAAATAGCTCCAAGAAGGTGCCAGAACAGGTGATGGCTGCTAAGAGAAACACAGATGGACCAGTGGTGTCAGTGGTGAAGCTACATGCTTGTAATAGCTAATGTCTCACTCTTATTTAGGAGGTGCCAAACCCACCTCTACTGAAACATCACCTAAGGCTCAAATGATTGGGACACAATTTACTAATGCCAGGATTGCTGAAACAGAGTATTCAATTTCTTCCAGAAGTTCACCAACTGTACACAACTGTAGAAGACAGACAACCTGCTAAAGGAATGTTTAACTGTTACTGGTGTCAACTTGAAAACAAACAAAGCATCCACAGCATTAAAAAGGAAAAAAAAATTTTAAAAGGCAAAAACCTGGAGTAGGAACCAGGGGTCCTGGTTCATTTGGACAGAAAATAATTTCAATTTTGATGACAGAGAAAATTCTGAGTCAATTTCTCAAGTGTTGAAGTTAATGACAAATTATTTTAATCTTAGACATTTTTGAAATGTAACTAATTCCTGACATGCACTTTGAATGATGTACTATTGATTAGCCTTCTGGGTACATTCAACAATAGAGGTCAAATTCTTTAAATATTCCTCACAGAAGTTAGCACTTGGGCTTCAGAGATGGGGAATAAAGTATGAATGTACCATTCACCCTTTGCACAGCTGATCTCTGCAGAGCACAGGAAGTTTCAACAGAAGTTCTTGCTGCCTTTAGTTTCTTGATCCTTTTTTTTAAACGGGTTTCACCTCTGGCTTTCTGTGCTATCATGAAGCTGACTCCTCTGCAACCCCTCAGACACCTTCAGTGCTTAAGTCCCACGTGGGAGGCAGCAGCTTGGAGTTTTCATTTCCAGCTAGCGGGAGGTGCCGTTGGATAAAAGCGAGGGTAATCCTCTCAGCATGCAATTCAGCAGCAATTCTAAGCAGGTCTCAAAAGATGAAATCAGCTGAAGAAACTGATCATTTGAGAGGTTGGTCCTGTGCTGGTCAGTGTTCAGGAGTCTATATGCACTGCCTCTTCCACTTGATCTGCAAGGCATGTGTGCTGTGCCCAGCGTAGGTCCAGCACAGCACTGCCGTTGGGCCATGTGTGTGCAGGCTCAGCTGGACTCGATCTCAGAGGTCTTTTCCAACCTAAATAATTCTGTGATTCTGTTCCAGGCTGGAGAGGCAACAGTGCCCACCCAGAAGAGGCTCACTTGCCAGGCTAACATTCTGTATTTTTGGTGAAAGGATTTGCACGGGAGCCCCATGAAGGGGAAAAAAAAGCAGAAAACTCAGTTTTATTTCTCACAGCCACCTGCATGAGCTCAAGGGTCCCTGCTCCCTGCAGCAGAGCCCAGCACCTCAGTTCAGCATCACACTGCTTCTAAACAAGAGCTGCAACTGCCCCTAAGGGAGAGAAGCATATAAGGGAGTGAGTCTCTAAAACACTCCCAGAAAGCACAACACTTACTGATCATCACAGCATCCCTCAAGGTGGAAGTCACTCCTAAGGATCATCAAGTCCAACTCCATGCTCCTCACAGGACGAACTAAAACTAAAGGACATGATGGAGCAACATCCAGACAACTCCTTGAACTCTGACACATTTGATGGCATGACCACTTCCCCTGAAGCCTGTTATGGATACTGTCAAAATTTCTTGGAAAATTACTAGCAAGGAAAGACATGTGCAGAGACTTTTAAGATACTTGTGCCCATGTGTATTTAAATTTGTGTTCTATCTTGTGGAAGATGAGTCAGGATCAGCAGGGGGAAATGCTGGCTCTCAGGATGAATGATTGCCATGTTCACTCACAGAAATCCTGTCATTACACCATCTTTCCATCCTTGGCTACTCTTGATTCATCCCAGGTAATAAAGGATAAACAGGGAACTTCAACAAGGAGCAACAACAACACCTACAGAGATTTATACTGTGTTTGACTCCTAGACAAAGGTGCTGAGGCCTTTTGAAAGAGCAAGTTGTTCCTCTGCCCCAACAAACCTCCAGTACAGCTCCTGCACAGCAACACTGCCCCTATGCATTTCACAACCCCCTACACACATTCCTTTTCTCCAACATTAACTTTTGGGGTTGGTTTTTTTGGGAGGGGGAAGTATTTTGTCATCCTTTGAACTCACTTTATCACACACTATACATTAGTAGTAGGGAAATTGTAAAAACTGTTCAGCTTTTAAAAACCAGTAGATAATACAAGGCTCTGGACAGAGCAGAGCAGTTTTTATGTGCAGTAATTATGCCCCCTCTATTGCAAAGTTGTGCCCTACTTTGTAATGAATTTAAGCATTCCTTTCCACTATCACTGACTAGTTTAATGTTTCTCCAGGATCTTTTGACAGTGAAGACATTCACAATATGACAAGTTACCAGTGCTGTGGATTTGGGTGACAAGCATATGGAAGGAAAAAAAACTCTCATCATCTCTTTCTTCAGGAGCCCCACTGAGCAGGAAACAGGGCAGCACCATCTTACTAAGAATGAATCTGAATGCAAGCTGTGCATTAACACCCCACATGGAACCCTTAAGTCCTTGAGAACAGCAGCAGTATTTAATTAACTTAAGCTTTAAATACTGTCTAGTAATAGCCTAAATTAGCATTGAGAATAAAGAGCATGAATTCAGTAATTTTTATAGTACCATGGAACACAGATATAACGTGAAAGACTTGCAGCACAGGTATTGTTGGTTCTCTATTATTATCATTATTATTATTTTGGGAGGCTGTTTTTTCACTTGTTCTTGTTGCTTGTATTTATTTGGATTTTTTTAAACTTCAGTGGCTCCCTTCAGTTTTACAGCATGTGTGGGATATCCCACCTTTCTGAAAGATGTCTACATCAAAGCAGATGAATGCACCTAGACTGTTAGAGACAGTGTGAAAAAAACAATTCAGCATTTTTATTCATATTTACTACAATTTATTTTCACATTTTAAAAAGGTCACATATCAGTTTAAAGGTAAAAAATACTTGTTGAAAGCTGAAACTTTTCCTTTCATTAAAAAAATAGTCAAAGTAATAACCTTTACCTGAACAGCATTATGTAGGCTGAGGCCAACCCAAGAGTGTCAGACAGCAAGTGAACTTGCTTTATGAAGGTATAATCCTTCTAAATAACGTGTTACATGTGATTTACAAGCAACACCAAAGTATTGCTCCTCCACAATTTCAATGCAACTGCTTACAAAGAAAAAAAAAAAAAAAGAAAACATTTGGTGTGAGCACACCAGCACACCACAGAAAACACTCAGGCTATAAAAAAGAAGCCAGACAAACACTAAGATGTATAGATCAGAAGGCAGAACATATATGTTCAAGGTGGAACTTGGCAGAACACGGAAAAAACATCTTTTTCCTTCAGCCTCGCCCATCTGTGATTAACAAACAACAAGCAAGCACACAGCACCTGTGTTCTCTCTTCTTAATGTCATCTTACAAATACTGCAAAGCAGCTCTGATCTTGCACATCTTCAAAGGCAATGTGTTGTCCTTCTGAAAGGCCAATGTATTTTGTATGGCTCTAAAGATGGATTTGTGGCTGTCAAAAAATCCATGTGGTTTCTAAAGCTGAACAAACATTGTTTTATTAAATAGCCAAATAAAAATATTTGACTTAGAAGTAGACCCATATGTAATCAAGCACAGAAAACTAGACATTTGCAACACCATTGGTATCTTGACACAACATTCTGTGTACAACTTTGGGCATCAGTTAGAACATTATGTCATCCAGCCCATCCTCCATGAACTTCTTGTAAATTGCCATAAACTTTGCAACAAATGCTTCCAGATGATAAATGGCTTTGCTGCCCAGTTGCAAGCGATGTTCATAGAAGGCTGCCATCTGTGCCACTTCTCCTTTCAGCTGTCCATCACAATTATTTAGAAGTTCTGTCAAAAGACCCTAAAATGGGAAAAAACAGGGCAGTATTTGAAAAATTATGTATTTTTTGTTAAGAGGACAACCTTGGTTCTCTGAAAATAACTAACCATTAACTAATAGTTCACTCATTATTCTAACAAAAAATATATTCATTTACTGGGATAATTTATGCCTTAATAAAAGAAAATTAATTAACCCCGTCTCCAAACACTATAACCTCTACTGCATGTAGGAACATGGCCTGAGGAGAATTCCTACCAAGACAGCAAGTGTATTAAAACCACTTAGTTATATCTTGACAGCATCAAGCACAAAGAGAAACAACATTAATAAAAACCAAGGAAAGGGTTATTTAGAATTTAAGTGTCTCTGTCTGTATTTACGAATGTATTTATGTGCAGACACACAAGACAACTTGACTTCAGTATTTTAGTTGTTACAAAATCCCAAAATGAATAATTATAGAGACAGCAATAAAATCATCCAAATCCATCTCAATTAAAACAGCCAGGATTAAGTGAGAAGTATCTCTAGACCATTTCAAGTTTATGAAGAGGGAGTGAGTAGAGAACATGCACCATTTTCCTCTCAAGCACAGCAATGCAGGATCTACTAACCTACTGTAAGAAAGGAAAGTTAAAGAAACATCTAAGTACCAAAAGCATCAGAAAGCAGAAATTTGTTAATGTCAAAAGAAATTATGTCTGATGGCAAAGCAAACATTACTAGGTTAAGTTGCAAACATTATTTTGTTCTATTCTAGCTGTCTTCAGTATCCTTAAAATAAAAACATGTACATCCCACTTGCTTTTTCCCTCCCAAGGCGACATCTGTCTTTGAATAGTTCTGCTGGACACCTCTCCACAAAGACACAGCAAATAACAAACTTGTAACAACAAAACTTATAAAAGAAAACCAATCATATAAAGATTAGCCCACAGAATTATTTAATCATTAAGGCTGTGAAAGACTACCAAGATCCTCAACTATGCTTTAATATAGTAACTGGCCTGAGAAGTGAAGGGGACTAAGAATGTCCACCTTTATTTTTACTCAGCTATGATGCTGTTTTTGTTTGACCACTGAAAAAGTTTTAATCTGTTTGGAAAGGACAGAGCTTTTCATCAATATCTTGATAATTTATGATGTTTTGGTGCATTTTTTTATAAAAAGCTTTAGTTGAGACAGTCATGACATAAAAATGTATAGCACATTAAGAGCTATAGCTGAATTACCTTCATTATAATCTCAGGAGGGATGCAGTGTGTCAGGAGTTCATAAAGCCGCCCACGGACTTCTAAAAGCCTGTTGGAAAGACACCACAAAATATGAGAAGCATGATCCCAAAGCATACTAATGTCTTTCACAACTAGTGAAATACACTGCAGGAAAAGAGTCAATCCAAGCTATGTCTCTTTTTTGCTTTTGGTTTTGGGTGTTATTTTAAGACCAAAAGCATTGCATGAGTCAATTTCAATTCAAAGGCTGCACATCACCTTTTACTCAAAAGATAAATGACACATACTATAGTTACAATGGTCTCAGTTAAACTAGAAGCTACAAGGCTAGTGTAATTTGTCTCGGGATTGTTTCCCTTTAATTTTTCTTCATATCTAAGTTATTCATGCTTAAGACTAGTGACTAATTTACTACAGCCAGAGAGATCCTTTGTGCTGTTTTTCTGTCTTCATTGTTAAGAAAAAAGGATAAGACAATTAGGTGGCAGAGCTGACACAATTAGCCAAAGCTCAGCTTTTGAAAACAGAAGGGCAGATGCTACAAGCATTTAAATTAAGTGACATCTTGTGCAAATAATAAATGGAACAGGCTAAAAGGATCAGGCTTTGGCTATGACAGTGAGATGGACACAGGAGTCATCTCCTAATGTGCTCAAAAAAAGCAATGAATTCTTACTCCCAGTTCTTTTACAAAGGTGCTTTATGCTAAAGATGGTCAAAGAGAAACTTTACGTAAAACAAACAAACCAGAACAACCACATCCACCCACCATTCCCACACCAAAAAAAAACACCCAATGGGGAAACACAACATGCAACTCAGCCTAAGGTCACTTTAGATTATTAAGCTTTGACAGGGAAAAACAATAGTTCTTCAGTTCCTGATACTCATTCATACTCTCTGGCAATTTTAAAGCTCCACTCCTCTGGCTGCAAAGTACCAGCTCCAGTCAGAAATACAGAAAATTACACATAACTGGAGACACCACATTTTTGAATACAACTTTTTTTTTGGGCTCCACAGTACATGGAAAATATCATTTATAGCTCTTAACAAATGCATTCACCTACCTTTGTGGTGTCTGTTGACCAACAATAGCATTTGCAGTTTCTCTCAAATAAATTTCCCAGTCCATCTCAGGAATGTCCTGATCAGCAGTAAAAGGATACCTAAGAAAGAATGTCTTTTTAGAGATTACAATCTAAGCAAGTTGTTGCCTGTTTTAACAAGGCCTTAGAAGCAAGGTCATTTATGTCTGACAGTAGAACTTATATTAATTTTTGCAGTGACTTACTGTTGTACTCTGCAGGACTCACACATAAGTAGTGCTTTCCGAAGATTCCTGCCAGATTTCTCTGCAATCCTTTGAGCCAGCTCTTGAGGAAGAGTCAGGCCTTCTTTCTTACACACACTGGACAAGACATGGCAGATCTAGACAGAAAACATATAGGGAGTACAACACTTTGCAAACTGTTCAGCACCTTTAGATTCTCCTGTTAGAAGATAGACCAGTCTTTCCTAAGCCATGCTTGGAAATCATCCAACACAAAGGAAAACTACATCATTATGTGAAAATAAAATGTAAGTCCACACCAAGAACTTATCCAAGAATTTTATAGTAACTTATTTTTGCCTCTGTTTCAACGTACATCTTCAATGCTGGGAGCAGGCACTCGTACAGCCAGGCATCTGCTTTGAATGGGCCCTATAATTTTTGACATTGAGTTGCAGCACAGGATCAACCTGCAGGTCGCCATGTACTTCTCCATGGTTCTTCGCAAAGCATGCTGAGCCTCTTTAGTAAGTTTGTCAACTTCTGTTAACAGCACCACTGAAAAAAGGATTAAACATAGCAGGGTTCTGTATTAGTATCAGATCTTTCTAAGAAAAAAATACTTTTGACATGCAAGCAATAATACCAAAATAAGTGATAACACACAGAAAACACAGCATGGTTCCACAGGCAGGAAAATAAAGATTAAGATTACTTGTGTGCCTTTTTGACTGTAAAATCTTCATGCAACATACAGGTACAAACAAAACAGTGAACTGAAATCTCCCCATGTTTAAAAAGCGTTTTGACTGCTTTAAACTGTTTTACTCACCTTTAAAATCTCGTTGAGTACTAGTCTCAAGCTGCTGGGACTGTGCCACTGTCTTCAAGAGCTCCTGAATTACTACACGGTCATTGTTTCCCGCATCACTGCACCAGGAGTTTGAATAGATCTTGTTTTAAAACAACTATATATTGCATATAAAATACATCCTCCAAAAGACAAATAAACGAGCAAGAATGCCAAAAGAATTCAGAAGCTGTTGAGTTACAATTAAACTGATGCTTATATACTTTGTTGAAAGTTACCTCCTCTGTAATAAAAACAACCAAAAGTTTATGCAGGCACAACTGGATAAGTAGCACTTTATGCAAATGTAGTGAATCCATTGTTAAATGTTTTATTAACTCATTAAAATAGAACTTCTTTTATTCAATGAGAAACCTAAACTTTTTTTACCTAGTTTGAACAAGGACACACAATGTGAACCTTTTTACTCATTATGGGAAGAACAATTAAGCCTAACCACATAAGAGGATGCCTGACATAAATGTGGGGGTTTATTCTGCAGAGTCCTTCCCAGAAATTTAATTCTTCTCCTTGTTAGCCATTCACCCCATTCAATGTTACTCAAGATGCACATGCCTTCACCATTGTTATAATTCAGTCAAACTTCACAGGCCACTGCACAGCAGAGGTTTACTGTCTGGTCAGACATAAACATTACAATTGCTCAGTTACTGAAAGCCTACAAATCAGGATATTAATCCTTAATCAAAACTCAGCACTTTTGTACCTAAATTGAAATACAATTATTTTATGTTTCAAGCTCTCTCAGTACTTTTTCAAGTACTCTGTATAGAGTAACAGGAAGAGTGCTAGCAGTATCAGGTTATCACATCCAGGTTGAATGGTCACACATTTGATATCACCAAAATGACATATTCAAAACAATGATTACCAATAAGCCTCAGCTTTTATTGGTAATTAGCTGATAATTATTTGTGTCTGTATTAGCACACCAGCAGA